CCAATGCACAGTGAGAAGAGGCGGAGTCAAGCTGTGAAGGACACAAGGATGAGGTGCGTCTGTCCGAAAGGGACCTCCGTAAGGAGAAGAGGGGCAGACAGAGGTTAAAGAGAGAGTTCAACAAAAACAAAACTGACTTACACACTTTTGGTCTTGGTCTGTAGACGAATTTTAGGCTTCAGGGTAGCTGGTGCTTCTTTTTAGTTGTGCTACATACTTTTGTCCATTTTTATAGATAATACGATGTCAAACATCATCAGAAACCACATAGGCAAGTCTGTCTGAGGTTATGTAATAAGCTAATACAGTTTGAGGCAAGTGTGCGCGATTTAGGCCGAGTGCTAATTGGTCTGCGATAAGCTTCGGTCACTTGTTACTGAAGAAGCAGACTTGAGATGCCAAACATTTCTTGGCTGATTGGCTCTGTTTGGGCGAAGGGGGGTGTTTTTATTTGCCAAGCCATCGCATAAAGGGTACAAACCATGGAAAACTGAATTTTCCGCTCCTTTTTTTCTAAAATAAGTTTGAATAGTTTATCTCCGGCCGTTCACATTGACATTCTGATGCTTTTTTGAATGAGGCACAATACAGGGCAGCCAATCAGAACAGCCTGTTTGATTCTTAGGGATAGAGAGAGGATAGATTAAAGTAAAATTGAAGTACGACCACTTTTGTAAAATAAAACCACGAAATTTTGGATATGGGCCCTTTAAAAGTCTCTCTCAAGGGGCCTATTAGCATTATAATGGACATCACTCTGACCTTAGTGGTCCACACCCGCATTTATTTATGCTGCGTTAGCACTTTTCAGGTGGAGTATTCTTTTAAACTGAAGGCGTCTCCACATCTTTTGTTCCTGCCTTTATTCCACAGCAGACCACTTATCAGGTCAGGGCTCTGTGAGGGCCAGTCAAGTTCTTCCACACCAAACCCACCCAGCCAGGCCTTTGAGGACCTTGCTTTGTGCACTGGGGCTCAGTCATGCTGGAACAGGAAAGGTTCTTCCCCAAACTGTTCCCACAAAGTTGGAAGCGTATAGTTGTCCAAAATGTCTTGGTGCTGAAGCATTAAGGCTTCCCTTCACTGGAACTAAGGGTTCTAGACCAACCCCTGAAAAACAGCCCCATATCATCATCCCTCCTCCACCAAACTTTACAGCTGGCACAGTGCAGTCAGGCAGGTAACGTTCTCCTGGCATTCGCCAAACCCAGACTCGCCCATCAGACGGACGGATAGAGAAGCTGATTCATCACTACACAGAATACGTGTCCAGTGCTTTCCACTGAGTCCAGTGGTGGCGCTTTACACCCCTCCATCTGATGCTTGGCGATGTAAGGCTGGTGTGCAGCTGCTTGGCTATGGAAACCCATGCCAGGAAACTCCCCAGCGCCCAGTTTTTGTGCTGATGTTGATGTCAGAGAAGGTTTGAACTCTGCAGTAATTGAGTCAGCAGAGCGTTGGTGACTCTTATGCTCGATGCTCCTCATCACTCGGCCACCTGCTCTGTAATTATACATGGTCTGACACTTCTTGGCTGAGTTGCTGTGATTCCTAAACACTTCCACTTTTCCATAATACCACTCGCAGTTCATCGTGGAATATCTAGGATGGAAGAAGTTTCAGGAACTGACCAACAGTGGCTTCCTATTACATTATCACACACAAACTCAGTGAGCTCTTTAGAACGACCCGTTCTTTCACTAATGTGTGTAAAGGCAGGCTGCATGGCTAGGTGCACCTAAAACACCTGAGTTCAATGATTTAAGAGGTGTGTCCCAATACTTTTGTCCATGTAGTGTATTGATGCCATATTTGACTGTAAGGCCAACTCAAGTGGATGTAATCCTAATTTGTACGTTTTATTAGTATTTATATCCACATATCTGTTTAAATTGTAAAGGATTAATGACCTCAGTGATGAAGTTCTGTCTGTTCTGGTTTTGGACTGGAACTTCCTGTGTCCTGCTTCCCTTTTCGGACTGTCCGTTCCTCCTGCTCTGTGCCAGCAGTGCACATTACGGCAGGGCCAGAGAATCGCCGGTATGTGTTTTCAATGGGTGCCCAGTTTAGATAAACATCAGGGCGGCGTGGGTCGTCCAGAGAGCCAGTAGAGTGAATGTGGTCAGGCTGGGGGCCCACAGGTCTGCTGATATTGTTCGGGAACGCAGTGACGCATTTCCGACTAGGAAACGACTCGCTTCCTGTGCTTTTTGACCTCAGGAAACCAGGGCAAGGCGGACATGCTTGGTCATCGTATGGAACAGACCAGTCAGTTACCGGCCTGGCCTGGGCAGTGTTTGTCTTTCAGAGAGTTGCTGAGGTTATTTAGACTTTTTTACTGGCACTTTTAGGTTTTTATATCCATTCGTCTGCTTGTGTAATTTGCCATCGTCACAGCCGTTGTGTGAGCGCCTCCCTCACTAAAGAGAGATTTCATGACGCAGTGGAGTCATCGAGGCCTCGGTTGATTTTAAAGGAAGATAAATCTCTGTTTCTGGTCTTCCAGTCAATTTCTTTTCCGCCGTCCCAGAGGAACAATCAGGTTATCGAGCTGGTGATGTAACTGGACGTGTGCGGTGTTTTTGTTGGCTTCTTGGAGATGTGGTGTCTGTCAGTGTCCGCTTTGAATAAAAATGTTTGAAGTTAAATTCGATTGAGTGATTCATTACACAGAACGATGATTATTATTATTATTATTATTATAGCATCTATTCAACATATCGGCAATGTTAGAACAATAACCAAAGAGATTTACACTCATTTTCATTGTAAGTTAAGATTATTTTTCTTCGATTATTTTGGAAGATTTTTGCTGATCCATTCATTAAGAAGCTTATTGTACAATATAAAGGGCAGCTGGTGTTTGCATGTTATGAAAACAAGCAAAAAAGATAAAAATAAGTATAGTTTTGTCCCAAAATCAACAAAATGCCAGATTATGGAAGAATGTGGACTGTGAAACTGAAGTAGGGCTGCCTTTAATTAATCCTCTGCTGTAGAACCGATACAATTAAGTTTTTCTTGATTTTTTGCATCAATACTTTCAAACTTGGTCAGTGTTTACTTGTTAGTTTGTGTATTAATACCCAGGTAGTTTATCCTCATAACTGTAGTTTAATCAGTGTAAATGAAGTACATGCATAATGCCTATACATGGCAGCTACAAAATACCAGTAAATCTCCTTCTGTAGCTTCTATAACTGACTTGCTGTTCACTAAACACATCGTGATTATCGTGATAGGACAGTATCTGCTGAATCTTGACTGGTGTTATTATGAGTATCGTATACCTAGTGTGGTCAGTTTGAAGGTGGCAGTGCAACATGGATTTGCTGCATGTCTCTTTATGTATTAAAAATATACAGGGTGATTTTAAAAAAAGATTCATCTGATTTTAAAACGCCATATTTTTACAACCGCGAGGCGTCTAGGAACCAATCACAATCCAATTGAAAGAGGGGGTCATAGAGTTTCTGACTCTCACCGGAAGATGGCTCCCTCATCGCTGGATTGGCTGCAAAGGAGACCCCCATTTGGCACTCCACTTCTGGCCCCCAAGATCACCAGATCCCATGCCGTGTGACTTTTTTTATGGGGGTAGATTTAAAGATTCTGTTTATGTGCTGCTCCCAACAAAACTGGATGATCTCCAGAATCGCACTGAAAGAGCCGTGAGTGCAGCGACACCCGACATGCTCAATCGAGTATGGGACGAGTTTGACTATGGTGTTGATGTCGTCCGTACAGCTGGAGGAGGTTCATATTGAGAACTTGTAAAATTACATGATAAACTTTATGCTCATTTACAGTTTACTGAATTGTTCTGTAATGATTTACAAGTGAAATAAATCATTTTGAAATTGGATGAATCTTTTTTAATCGCCCTGTATATAGATATATGAGAGATAAAAGATAAGAGTATGTTGTAGTTAAGCATCTGTCAAAATGTATTGGGCTGTTTTTTTTTGTTTTTTTTTTTTTTTAAAAACAATATAGATTTTTTTTTTTACATATGTAAAAATCTCTTGGATATAAATATATATGAGATGTAATATGAGAATATATGAGATGTAAGAAAAATGTATATGAAAAGAATGTTGTAGTTAATTATCATAGTCAACAAATGTGCTTATTTTCAGTCAGAAATAAATGTATCTGGCTGTTTTTCAAAATATATATAGGCTTTACTCCTTTTATATATATATATAAAATTCAGTGAATTTTTTTTTGGTATGCATTACTGTGGAAAAGTCTGAGAAAATGGTAAGTAAAGCCGTTTGGGCAGTAAGCATTTATTTGTTTGAAAAAAAAACCCACTAACTTTCAAAATAAATACGAATAAACAAAATATTGGCAAATCACTCCCTCATTAAATGTAATCAGCCGTGTTGCTTATGAAATTGAACTGAATTCTTCTAATCAACACTAACTTTTTAAACTTTTTAAGTCGTATTTTATTCTATTTATGTTGATATATGTGTTTTATTGATATATTGTGATGGTGTTTTTATGACTAACTCACTACCATGATAAATCATTTTAAACAGTTTTAATGGCCGCCGACGACTTTTACTAAAACCAATCTAACAGAATCAGACTTTACTCCTGTAACGGTTCTGACCGCGTCATTCCCGTATGGAAGCCCTCGGAGTAACAGTGACGCATGAGGGAGGATGTTCGGTCATCAGCGTATGTCGCGTCTCTCTCGGTCCTGTGACACACATGCCGTTTATCCTCCGAGCGTCTGTTGGGTCATGTGACCTCCACATGGCAGTGACTTCACCATTCAGCAGGTGTGAGCTCGTGTCCAGCTGCGTCCGTCGCTTAAATCCTTTGTGTACACCTGACGCTTGTGTGCGTGCGTGTGTGTGTGTGTGCGTGCTTCTGCCAAGCTCTCAGCTTTAATACTGACCCCACTGCAGGTCAGCTTAGTCAGGAGTGTTGTAGGATTTGTAGAAGCTCTTCCTGACACACAGGCTTGTTTGTGTTTGTCTCCACAGTGACCGCTTGTGAGCCCTTAGCCATGTCCGCAGCAGGTGTGATGGACCCTCCGCGAGACGTCGAGCAATCGTGTGGGACAGGAGACAGTATCGCCTCTCTGGACGACCCAACTGTGGAGCCCACGGCCAAGTAAGTACATGCATTTAGTTGATTTTTAACCTAGCCTACAAAGTGTGTGTGTGTGTGTGTGTGTGTGTGTGTATGTGTGTATATATATATTAATATATATATATATTATAACCATTTCACCGTGCAAAGAACCCTGTAGGCATGCAAGTAGTTCTTTGAGTGTTTATGGTTCTATAGAGATCCATTGTCTTTACTAAGGAAACTTTAGTAACCGTCTCTTTAAGAGTGCATATAGAACCAAAAAAGTTCTTCAGCTGTCACAATGGAAAGCTTGTAACAATAGCAGAACCTATTTTGGTGCTACATAGAACTCTTTTCAAAAGGGTTTTATATAGAACCATATACAACACATCCTCGGCCAATCTGAAGAACCGTTTAGGCATGCAAGTAGTTCTTGGAGTGTTCATGGTTCTGTAGAGCTCCATTGTCTTGACTAAAGAACCCTTAAAGCCCTTAAAGAACCATCTCTTTAAGAGTGTGTATACAGCACCAAAAAGATTCAGTTGTCACAGTGTAAAGCTTGTAACAATAGCAGAACCTTTTTTGGTGCTATGTAGAACTCTGTTCAAAAGGGTTCAATATAGAACCATATACAACACATCCTCGGACTATCAGAAGAACCGTTTCAGGATGCAAAGAATCATTTAATCATGAAATGGTTCTATATAAAATCATGGTTCTAAAAAGAGCCATTGCCTGTGCTAAAGAACCTTTTGGAGAACCTTTTTTTTACGTGTAGTTGGTAATAAAGCCGCGCTGCGTCTGCTTTCTCAGTCATGTGCTTAACGTTACTGCATGTCACTGAGTGACGTCTGAACTCTTGAACACACATTCATAACATTGTTTACAGAGCAGTTAAGTGTAATCACCATACTGGGCCGGCCTCTGAGAGTGTCGCTCATATTTCACACATACACTGCACACACTTTCTATGCACCAGTACACTTCTGTGTCTCTAGTGTGTGAATGTAGTCTGTTAACCCCCTAAACCAGAGGTCGGCAACCCAAATATTAAGAAGAGCCAAATCAAACCACCTTGGGAGCCACATTTTCTGTCCATTTTACCATCTTGGCTGTAAATGTGTGCTAATGTACCAGTATAGGCTAAAAATATAACATAAACGAAAACTGACTTACTTTGCTCTGCTTTAAGCTTTAGCTCAACTATAACGGCTTTTCTCGCATCTCCAGCAGGAAACTTTTTTAAAAGTAGAACAATTTCTACTGTCTCTCAACATTCAACTTTTTATGAGGCTGAAGTCGCTTCTCGTTCGCCAGCTTCTTGTTCGAATTTTCCCGTTCCACCTTAAATGGTGCCGAGCCGCCAGAATGTAACTGCTGCACCATTTAAGGTGGAACGGGAGAATTCGAACGAGACGCTGGCAAACGAGAAACTGACTTCAGCCTTGGGACTTTCTAGTGTTTGTCAGTTTCTCGGTGCAGATTAAATGTATCAGGAAACCAGCTGGAGTGATTATAAACACTAATAAGTCCATTCGTCTCCAAATGATCAAAGCTCGTCTTAAATCTCTCTCTTTGCCGTTTCGTTAGCTACTAACTAGGTGAGACTGTTGTCTGCGTTGCTATGGTGACCAGCAGCCTGCGCTGATCTTCAGGGTTAAAGGGTGAATTAGCAGTTCTACATTAACTCCAGAGTTTAAGACCATTTATTGTTAAACTGTGTTGAATGATCAGCAGAGCTTTATTTTACTGTAAAGGAGGATTATTTTATTTTTACCTACTAATCTGATTCTGCTGTGGAGCCGCAACAGGACAGTAACAGAGCCGAGTACCCGAGTATTTGAATACGGGCACCTTGAGTGGCCAACTGGGTACTAGAGTGCCTGAACAAGTTGCAGTTGTCGGGCATGAAGGGGTTAACTTTTCTCTAGAACTTCGTGAATCCGCCCCAGGTGACTACCCAGCGGTTTATGAGCTGAACCGGCTGTCTGAGCAGCACAAACACTCAAACCTGGGTAGAGTCTTGACTCCTCATGACTGCGTTTTGACCTAAACGGCCCAGGTTGACCTCCTCAGGTGATTCCTCAGTGTAGGTGTACGTGAAGGTATGCGCGCCTAAACGTTTTTGACGTGATTTCTGAGCACTTCAGATCAAAACTCTGATACATATTTCTCTCTCAGTGAAGTCGGGCTCAGAATGCTGTATGTCTGGATTTTCTCTTCTTCCAGTCTCTTAATCTTTTGTTTTCTTTCATCACATTACTTTCCAGTGAGTCATCGGAGGAGGAGACGGCCTGCGAGAGAGAGGAGGAGAGCCAGGCCGCCCAACACAGCACACGCATGCAGTCAGGTGAGGTTGCGCACGATGACATGGCGTAAAGCCTTAAAACAGTCAAGTCTCTTATTTTTCAAGAGAATATTTTGATGTGGTTTGTAAATATTGTTAAATGTATTAGAGCTTTCTTTAGTCTGTACCGTCCATACATTGGAATTAAGCTGCGAAAACAAAGCAGCTTGTTTTGAATTCATTGTTTGTCGCGTCATGAAAACCAAAGCGTTCATGCATATCAGGCGTTCAGCCTACAGCAGATAAGCCCCGCCCACTCACACTGAAGTTATAAAGCATGTTTCACCCTGGAAACATACAGGGCAGCCAATCAGAACAGGGCTATGCGTATGTCCCTGGTCCAATGATGTTTTGTTGTTTTGGCATAAAATGCGGCCTGTGCAGAAGTTATGAGATATTTTTATTCTATGTTTTATGTTTTTCTAATATTTAAACACTGCAAATAAATAGAAATGTACATTGTGTGGAAAAATGTGGAGGGTGTTTTAACTTATTTTCACTTAGAAAAACAACTAAAGATATCATTTGTAAAAAGAAATTGTGCTCTTTTAAATCTTAAACTTCACAAATGTCGTAAGTAGCCCTGAAGTCAAAAATATAGAATATGAGCCCTTTAATAAAATTGCATCGCTGCTGATCAATAAATCCAATAACTATGTACAAAAAGTGTTTTGCAAAAGTCAGTAGAAGTAAACGGCTGTATTACTGCTACAGTCTCACTGCATGTACCAGGACACACCACGTATAGTCGTGATCTTCACAGCAGTAGTGCTGATTTATTTCATACATATTTGAATTGTTAGTTTTCTAAGAGTCACAAAGACGTATAGGAGGTTCGGTAAACAGTCTGTCAGTGTAACGACTGTAGTGAAATGACTGCAGTATATATTAGTGCTTTTATGATTTTAGCATATGTGAACAGTACCACTGTAATACTAACACCATGGAAACGTTTACTGTTTTCACTGATATGCAAATGCACCACAGACAAACACATACAGTCGTATGCAGAAGGTCAGATGGCATGTTTGGTTGATTTTCTGGTTGTGAATAAGTGAACACATCCTCTACACAGAACACACCTCTGCACATTTTAATGCACAATTACTGTTTATTTGTTTAATATAACATATTGGAGGAAAAAAACAACATGCAAAACGTGGCCTGTGCAAAAATTATGGCACATTTTTCTCTGTAGAGGATCTCGTTTCCGCTTAGAAAGTCACCAAAACGTGTAAATTTGACCGCGGGGTGTTTAAGCTTTCGCATATAAGTGCGGAGTTCCTCTTTAGATATACAGATGACTTTATTCTAGTCCTCATATGACACACGTGCTTCGCTCTACAGGAAAAGGAGAAAGCCCTCAGTGCTGATTCTAACACGTACTTATTTAACCCGGTATTAAGATTTGTTCACCGTCATGAAGGCTGACTGGATGTGCTTATATAACATCAGCATGTGTGAATTCCAGGTTGATGAGACCACCGCTTCCCCCTAGAGAGGAAGTGTGTGAAAGGGAAACAGTGAACAGTGAGCCTCCCAAATCTCCCTTCATTCATATACTCCCCCAGTACAGCTCAGCTTCCTCTTTCCCTCTCGGCTCTTCCAGTTAACGCTTTATAAACACGTTACAGAGAATTTAAATATCTCTGCGAATGCAGAACTGACATGCTTTCAGATCTAGTTTTAGAAAAGCAAGTTCATCCATTTTTCGTGGACACTACAGTCATATGCAAAAGTTCGGGCACGCCTGGTCAAATAAACGTGTTCTGTTGATTTGCAAATAAGTCAGCATCCTTTACAGAGAACATATCTGTGCACATTTTAATACACAGTTACTGCTGTCGGAACAAAACCTCGTATCTCCATAATGGTAACTTTACAGGAGAAGGAAAAAACCCGCTTTACTTTTAATGTAAGTCAATGGAACCAGACTTTTCCAAGTAATTTTGGGCCGTTTCTTTTGATCCATTTTTCATGACCTCATGACACAAAAATTAAGATACAAATATATATATATATATATATATATATATGTATATATATATACACACACACACACACACCACACACACACACACACACACACACACATATTTCCAAGTAATTTTGTGTGTATTTTCCTGCTGTCGGAAAATCTTCATTTTTGTCGTTTTTCAGTTTTTGACATAATTTGAAAATACCTGTTGTTCTTCTACATTGTGTGTGAATTTCATGCTGAATGGACCAAAAGAAACGACCCCAAAAAAATTTGAAAAACATCTGGTTCCATTGACTTACAGTAAAAGTAAAGTAGTTTTTTTCCTTCTCCTGTAAAGTGACCAGATATGAGGTTTTCTTCCGACAACAGTGATGTGTGTGTGTGTGTGTGTGTGTGTGTGTGTGTGTGTGTGTGTGTGTGTTCATATTTGAGTTTCTTTCCTATTGAGGAAGTTATTTTCACTTACAAATCTCAACAAAACATGTAATTTAATGCGGAGGGGAGTTGTTGGAACATTCGCATATAACCGTGTATGAAGCTCTGAAAGGTAGTTTCAGTCGGAGTCAGCCGCGGCGCTGCTAGCGCACTTTAAACGTTTTGTTTTTAAGTAACTAGTAATGAGAGGAGAACAGATTTTGTTTTTTTTCATTCTGAAGAAGTCCCTGACCCTGAGTGAGGGCAGTGACAGTGTGAAGGTTCGGCAGGGTGTAAGGTCACACAGCCCTCAAACAAACTTCCGCCCCTCCCTTGTTTGTCTGTGTGCATTTAAACAGTGAATAAACAGCCGGCGTGTGAAAACCCAGACGCTTCCACCTCTCTCTGCTGAATGTCATGTTTACACTGGGGGACGGACGCTCTCAATGAGGTCACCCTGCCACGGGGGTCACATGACCTACAGGTTTACTCGTCAGGTTGCTGAGTTGGCTGAATTGCAAGCTAATTTTTTTAGAGGGTGTGTAGTGAAGACAAACACTGTGTGGGGTTAGCCTGCTGTGTTTAGACAGCGCAGTGTGTGATAAGTTGATGCTCTAATTGTGTTGATTTCAACCTTAAAGGGGAATTCCACCAATTTTTCATAAAATTCTGCATAATTCAGCCTTTGAGATGTAAACAAAGTCATTCAGAGTGGTTTATTGTGAAATAGTCCATTCTAGAGAAACTTACTGACTTCTTTACAGTGGTGGTGATAGGAACCAGGGGTCACCATGACTACAACACAAATATAGCCATTTTATTTACTATCCAGCACCATCAGTGAACCTACACGTGTCTTCTGAGTTTAACATGTGATGTTGATGATGGCATTGAACTTCTCAGACGTCTGGTTCCTATCAGCACCACTGTGAACAATTCTGATTCATTACGTTTCTCTACCGTTTCACATCAAACCACTCTGAATGACTTTGTTTACATCTTAACCGTTTAATTATGCAGAAATTCAGAAAAGTGACTGGGATTCCCCTTTGTTTTTCTAAATCATTAGAACCTCCTGTTTATAACAGCACTTAAACTGTTTGGATTAAACAGCTGTTAAATGAATGTCAGCAGCTGTTTTTTTTCAGTCTGTTTATGTAAAAAGTAGTATTGCTGAGAAGGACTTAAGTGCAGGATGTGACTGCAGGGACGAATGAACTTTGGTAGCCCTTCTTCTAAAAGCTGCTCATTGCATCAGAGGTGCTGGTGCAGTGTGGCTGTGAGTTCAGCCCGTAAAGAATGAACTAAGCTTTAATGAGGATCACTTCTCTACTGTGTACGCATGTCTGGTACTCGGGGGTCAGTGTTCTGTGACGGAGGGCTCTGCTCTGAGACGGCCTTGTGTTCACAGACAGCCTCGTGCTGAACCTTTGGATTCTATTTATACATTAGTTACAAAGTGAAGCTAGTCACAGTGATAGTTTGGCGCTAATTGAAGTTCACACAGATTTCCCCTGACCCGAGTGCAGTCGATAAGCCAAGATATGTTGGCTTCTTCCGTTCTTGCATAGTCGTATGCAAAAGTTTGGGTCAAATAACGTTCAGTTGGTTTTCTAAGCGAAAATAAACACATCCTCCACAGCCCATGTGTCAAACACAAGGCCTGCAACCTGATCTGGACAAAATTCGGCCTGCAAAAGTTTTTTAATTTTCTATTAATTTTAACCCGTTTCACAATGCGCTGCACTACATTCCCCAGCATGCACTGCAACGTAATGTCTGGTCTGACTCTCCTACCCCAATAACAGTCTATGGGACTGCAGTTACACCTCAATTCTGCACAATTCTGCACCAGTCATATCACCAAACACACTGGGCTGCATTTCAGCTGCAGTTCAACCAGCATAAACACTTAACGTCAGCTCAGCAGCTCAGAAACTGAGCCCAAGCATTAATGAACTTGCAGTAAAGAAAGGATGGCAGGAGTCTAATTCAGGCAAATAGGTAGGTTTTAAAGACTGAGCTCCTGGAGACGTTTAAATTTTGAGTTTTTCAAGTGTCCATGTAATATTGTAATGTATTTAATCTACTACAAGTGTCTGTATTTCACTGCTGAAGTTTGTGCGTATTTTGAATAAACAATGGCCTCTCGAGATTATAGCACAACATTGAATTAATATGAAATATAAGCTTTTTTTCTGGCCCCAAAGATTTGTTGAGATTTTTATATTTTTTTTTTATTCGGCCCCTTTAGTGGATGAGTTGGACACCCCTGCTCTACAGTGAACACACTTCTGCATGTTTTAATGCACAATTACTGTTTATTTGCTGAATTTAACATATTTGGCAAACAACATAAAATGTGCAAAAGTAATATTATACATTTCTTTTTTTAATACATTTGGCAGACACTCTTATCCAGAGCGACTTACGATTTGATCATTTATCACAGGAAGGTGAAGGTAGTGTTAGGAGTCTTGCCCAAGGACTTGTTATAGTGTCGGGTGCTCACCCAGCCAGGGATTGAACCCCAGTCTACAGTGTAGAAGGCAGAGGTGTTACCCACTACACTACACCAACCACTTTGCTTATTTTTCTAATAAGCAGAAGCAAGAAGTACTGTTGGAGAAGTACTGTCACTGCTGGAGCAGGAAGTCAATATGTCTCTGGTCATATTAAACACAGTTAATCTCATCATATGATTTAAAAGACACAATTCTTGTTTTCCTGTTAATTTTCTCTCATATTATAATTTACCCGCCTCTTCTGATTTTTTTATGATGTCACTGTGCACCAGCAGGCGGGGCAAGATAATACTAAGCAATGATGTGTTTCACCCCACTACCCCCACCTATCATCAAGAGAAAGCGCTCAGCCTGCTCAGAAACCCACGTCGATACCTGTTTCGCTCACAGATGCATTTCAGAATGGAAGGGTTATGAATATGAATTTGTGTTGACTTTAATAAACAACCCAAACCATGTTTGCTGTGTGTCCTGCAGCCAGTGCCCAGCGTCCGGCCTCTCTGCCTCTGCCTGCGTCGGGGTCGGAGCTGCAGACGACGGACAGGAAAGGCGAGGTCAAGCTGAGGATGGGCGATTCCGGGCCGGCGGCTGAGCCTCCGGTCACCGTGCACCAGGCCTTCACCCGGGCCGTGGAGCGATTCGGCAGCTACACGGCGCTCGGCTGGAAGGACGGAGAGGAGTGGAAAAAATACAGCTACAGCGAGTACTACCAGGCCTGCCGCACCGCCGCCAAGAGCTTCCTCAAAGTGAGCCCCCACAAACACACGCCTAGTATTTACTGTAGCAGCTCAGAATTAAGCAGCAGTTTAGCAAAAAATCTAATACAGATTCCCCCTTACCTTAAATGTGATCAGTCAGTCTGAAGTTATTTAGTTTAACACTACAGCTATATATTTATATATATATATATATATCCACCACCCAAATAGTACCTGCTCTGTGAGGTCCATGGGGGTCCTGACCACTGAAGAACAGGGTAAAAGGGGGCTAACAAAGTATCAGAGAAACAGATGGACTACAGTCTGTAACTGTAGAACTACAAAGTGCACCTATATAGTAAGTGGAGCTGATAAAATGGACAATGAGCGTAGAAACAAGGAGGTGGTCATAATGTTATGCCTGATCGGTGTGTGTGTGTATGTATGTATGTATGTGTATATATATATATATATATATATATATATATATATATATATATATATATATATATATAATATATATATATATGTATATATATATGTATATGTATGTGTGGCACCATGGCAACAGCGCCGAACAGAAGTTAAAGCCTGTAAACGGTGGAAAAGCAGCTCATCTCACCTTTTTCTCCTTCGTCTCGCTCTAATAATGAAGCTGAGAGCTGATCAGAGTTAATTATCTTCTCAGCGAAGCTCGTTCTGCTCGTTAGTTTGTGCTGATGATGAACGTGATTCATTCACGTGACGTTACTGAGTAGGATGAGCTCATGAGGGTCATTTCAGGACACCGGTTCATCACATTAATGACAGATTTGAATCGCTTACCTAAACGAGTGTGAACCATCGAGTCAGAGAGATCAGATTTGAGCAAAAAATCAGATTTGAGCAACGAGGCTTGTAATGTGAACGTAACCCATGTTGGATGCAGATTGGAACTAAATGTTGCAGATCTCCAGCAGGAAGCTTGGTGACCATTGCTCTGTTAGATCTAACCTTCCCCGAGATATTGTTGCTCTTGGAACAAAAACTTTTGAAGTCATTTTAGATCATTTCATCATGAAATATCAGCGGAAAAGGCTGCGAATGTTTCAAACAGTGTATAACATGAAAAACGGAAATAATTGAGATAAAAGGTTTTGGCGAATGCGTTCCGTAGATAATCACCCAGTTGAATAAGATTAGAGTAAGTGGTGTCAGATTATCATCTTTATAGCAATAATATTAGACAAAACAGACTTTATCCTGGTCAAGCACTCTTGCTCTAATTGGCCAGATCTTACGGATCATCTCCTCTTATTGACAGAGTGAGCTGTGTTGAGTTCTGTGTGGACATCTGTCCTCATTACACAGCAGTGTTATCTGAACTGATGCTCTAACCTGCCTGATAAGAGGATTGTTTTGGTCTCAGAGGAGAGATATAGTGGCACACTTGGCTGATGATTTGATCGTTATGTACTGTGTATACCAGCAGCAGTTGTAGGTCACAGGTCTTTTTTTATTGGTGTCAGTAAATGTAGGGTATCCGTCATACCAACACCATAAAGTTACAGTAACTTGTGAAAAGGCCGTGATTTATGGACAAGAACGAGAGAAAACCATAACACATCCACATATAACACTTCTTCTTCATAGACAATGCATTAATATGAACCATGAAACAATGACTGTGTAGATTCCTGCTTGTGCAGATTCACTCAGCAGAGTGGAAACCCTGGTCTTTCACCTTCACCCTTAAAAACAGAGGCTGGTCTTCCGTTTTAGCAAAGTGGTTGTGCTGAAATACAAACGTGCCCTCCTCGAATTAAGTACCTAATTCAGTTTACCAAGCATTTCAACAGCTGCACTTTTATTAAAAGGATTGGTAACATTTAATTAATGTCAGGAAAATGGATTTACGTATAGATTTAGGGTCTCGTGACCGATTTCCCTTGCAAGCCTCATACAACAAGCACAAACAGCATGATGGGAGGGATAGCTGGACTGGGCAATGACTGAGCTGGACATGCAATGTCCTTATAACTAGTCAGGGAGGCCATAGATGCACACTTTAAATTAGAGATGGAGCTTTTTTTTTAAATAGATAAACCAAAACTTGACCTGACAAAGGAATGAAATTACATAAAGCCTTTTTATTGCTAAAAGTAAAAGAAGCTGCTGGGCAGCAAAAATCAAAACAATTTTTTTTTTTTTTGTACAAAATTTGATTTTGTTGCTGGCAGTTTGTGCAAAAGCTGGATGGAAACATGCAGTCATTTGCAAAAGTTTTGTTGTTTGAGAATAAGTTATCTAAATGACACATCTTCAAACACAAGGCCCACCCCCCACACCAATCTATGTGACTGCGCCACAAAAGAAAGGGATGCCGGGTGTCCAGTTCAAGCGAATGGGCAGTTTAAAAAAAAACCCTACTGTACACTGGGGGCATTTAAAGAGGTCTAACAGTGATCTGCAGCTAATGTAGACTATAAAATAGTTTTTGAATCGTTCAAGTATTCAGTGCCTATTTTTTTACCACTGTAGGTTTGGTATATTTTGAACAAACAAGGGCCAGTTGGGGTCAAAACGTTAAGTAAATATTTAAATAAAAACACGGCCGGGCCATGGATTTGTTCATTTTTATTTTGGCTCTTTTAGTGGTCGAGTTTGACACCCCTGCTCTCCAGGTAACACACTTAAATATGGCCTTTTCTTTCTTTTAAACGTGCACAATTTCTATTTATTTAAAATATTAAAAACACACAAAATGTGCCATAACATTTGCACAGACCTCATTTTGTATTTAATTTGGTTTCCGCCCAATACACAGTATTGAGCACAGTAATAGTCCTCATTGCTATTAAGAAAAAAAGGCCATGGAACCAAAATGCAGAATAAAGGTGAAGAAGCAAGAAAGAATAAAATACTATTGGTTAGATCAGAACTGAGCCGTGTCGGTTTCTCTGACCTTGTCCCACCCGCCGTATTCTCGCCCAACCCTGTGAGTTTGACCTTAAAACCGGCCGCGCTGACCCGCAGGGGAGCAGGATGTCAACCCTGACAGGATCGTGCTGCTCAGGCTGGCTCAGGTCGAGTTTGTTTAGTGCTTATTGTGAAGATGTAGAGTTGTGTAAGAGTCGTGTAAGAGCGAACGGCTCCCGCCGCCCCCCGAGGCTCACGACATCTGAACTCCTCGACCGCTGCAGGGCCGAGGAGGAAGCCTCCGGAGGCGAGGAGTGTGCGTACGTGTATATGCCTGAATGTGCTCGAGGGTATTTGGGGCGTGTGGGTTTTCCACTTGGCCGGTTCAGATGTCATTCGCTCAGTTGGCCATTTGCTCTCTGTGTAGACTCCGTAGTTCACACTGACCCTGTTTATTAGGCTCAGCTCTTTTCTGCCTACACTGACTTGGCCATTTTATTAGAAACACCTACCAGATCGGTGCAGGTCTACAGTTACAGACTAACCTGTAGCTTAACTACAAGGTCAGTGTCACTGCTGAGAAAGGTCCCTATGCTCTGTGGTCTGCAGTGCTCCAGTGGTGGTCCCTTTCCATTGAGGCCAATACGTTGTATGTTCTACACCTGCAGTGCTGTGCAAAAGTCAGAGACCACCCATCATGACATCATCACAATTTCCAGTCAAAACGGCGGTTTGAGTACAAGTTATTCATTTTTTGAAGATATTTTTGAGGAGATTAGACATAATTCACTTGCATGAGGTAGGAGAAAGTTACGGAGCCCCGCTGGGGACACCCTTATTAACATGTGGGAACAAGATCCTAATGCGTGGCCACAACTTATTAAGGCGTGGGACTATGATTACAGGGTTAGTGTTTGGAATAAATTGGCAACTGTGTATATCCTTTGTGCTTTGCACTGTAGTTTCTCCAGAAGATAACAGATTTGCAGTAGTGGTGTCTGAACCCGTTCTGATATGCACTAGTGTTTGATACAGAGTGCATCTGTCTTAGTGTGACACTCAGAAAAGAGCCCTGAAACAGCTGCAGAAGGGTCCGTCACCACTCATGAGGGAGACCCCAGCCTCGGACTGGACTATACATGTGTGCACAGGCTTGCGTGTGTCCTAATGGTGTGGTTTGTGTGTTTCCACAGCTTGGTCTGGAGCGCTTCCATGGAGTCGGCATCCTGGGCTTCAACTCCCCTGAGTGGTTCATCGCTGACATTGGAGCCATTTTTGCCGGGTGGGTGTTTGTTTATCTGTACGAGAAGCCGGCCTTTGCCCTGGTGTCTGGTTTATGGCTCTATAGCTGCAATGTAGTCATAACATACAGCCTTGTGTCTGACACCACAGCTAGCATGCTTTATTTATTGCACCACTTTCATAGATTGCCTTCACTGTGTGGAGGTGACATTGCTGCTAGTGCATGTGTGGGTGTGAACACTATCCGTTTAGAATCACATCAGTCACATAAAAGACTCTTTTTCTCTTAGATAAATGTATAATTTGGGTGGTTTTTATATACCAAAAACAGCCATCATTTATTGTTACATGACCATTTTACAACCACTCTTTATTCCTTAGTATTAAACAGGCTGTTTTTGTTACTGTGCCTTTAAGAGTGATATACCTGATACATGTAAATGATCTCTGTTCTGATTGGCTGCACTGTGTATCTGACTCAAAAAGCAGCCTGAGTGGGCGGGGCTAATCTGCTGTAGGCAGAACAGGCAGGTATGTCGGAATATGTTGGGTCTCCTGACATCATTAAATCAGTGAATTCAAACTTTGAACTTCTATGTTTAACTATTAATTTTAAAAAAGCAAGGAAAATTCAGTTTCCCATGAAATGACCCTTTTCATAATTGCTGATGTTTTGTTCAACAATAACTTATTTTCAGTACTTTCTGGTCTTATATAGGTTATGTTTTATTTTGGGATGCATGATTTTAATCAGCCAAGATCAGAATCTGCCGATTTTATTTATTTTTTTTTCTTCAAACACACATTAGAAAGAGCTTTTTAATTTATTATTTTGATTTTGCTCACTCTGATAAAAAGCAAAGGAGAAAATAGTCTTATTTATGTTGCACCTTTGACTAATACACTAAACTGTCACTGGGGCAGGACCCAGTGACAAGAGGTCACTGGGGTGGGACCTTCAAGGGTACATCTCAGTACCTTTGGTCAGGGAACATAATTGTTCCATAACCCACAAATACCAACTTTTCACCTGGAAAAACATATTTAAGGTTCACAATCAGACCTTAAAACCACTGTTTGTACCTTTGAGGGAACATTTACACTGTTTGTATCTTGATGAACGAAAAATGTACCTGAACAGAACCTTCATTTCTAACAGTGTAAAGTACTGAAAATGTGCTAGTGTTTGTCATATTTTGCTTAAAAAACACCCACTGGCCAATTTGGCTGTAAACAAATTGTAGTTGGTCATAAAATAGTAAAAATTTATCAGGGTCCCTAATTTTATTCAGTATTTGAGAAGTTATCTGCCTTAAAATTTGATGGTCATTTTTCAGATACACTGTTAGAAATGAAGGTTCTGTTCAGGTACATTTTTCATTCATCAAGGTACAAACAGTGTAAATGTTCCCTCAAAGCTCCAACAGTGGTTTTAAGGTCTGATTGTGAACCTTAAATGAGTTTTTCCAGGTGAAAAGTTCGTATTTGTACCTTTTCATAACCGAATGATTTAAAACAGAACAGTAAAATAAAAGCCTGGAGACGAGACGGGGTGTGTGGAGTCAGTACAGCTTAGAACATATCATTTCAGTGGATTATGGTTCAGTTATGTTCCCTGATTAAAGGTACTGAGATGAACCCTTGAGGGTTCCACCCCAGTGACAGATTAGTACCTTTATTTCTGAGAGTGTACAAGACATTCTAGTTATTCTGTCTCTGTTGTTTTACAGTAATTAGCCGCTCTGTTCTTTTCACAGCTTCCTAATAGTTGGAAATTCACTGGAAAAAATAGGGCAGTATCTGAAAAACAGTCCCATTCTAACTTCGCTTGTCAGGGCGAATAGTCTGTGCATTGTTTCTTTTGTTGCCTGGAAATAGATGCGGCTACACATTGTTTCTAACTGTTAGTGCTGCCATGACTTCCCCATGCATATTAGTGTTTGGTGTGACCCCCTGACCGTGTCATGCGATGCCTAGAAGGCAGCATTTGGTGAGCTTTGCCACAATAAACCATAAACCAAAGGCATTTCTCCACTGATAACAGTCTGTATTGATGTGCTCTTAGGCAAGGCACTCAGCAGCGACTACTCGAAGGCCACTGACCTGCGTTTGCTTCAGACGGAGTGGTCTAAACTCAGGACAGGGTCTGTCTACTGGACTGCAGCGTTCTGCAGACATATTTCTATGTTGGCCACCAAAGTATTGCTGCAGTAGAGCCCATCATTACCTTTATTTATTAGGGCAAGTGGTGTACCTGCACTGTGTGTCCAAAAGTTTGTGGACACCTGATCGTCCAGCGTTTCAGGGGTATTTATAGTGCGTTTGTCCCTCTTTGCTGCAGTAACAGCCTCTGCTCTTCTGGGAAGGCTTTACACTAGATGTCAGAACATTTGCTGTGAGGATTTGATTGAGCGTTAGTGAAGTCAGGTACTGATATTAGGTCATCAGTTCTGCATCTCAGGCTTATTCCAAAGGTATTGGAGCTCCATCACTCCAGAGAACACGGTTCCACTGCTCCACAGCCCAATGCTGGGAGGCTTTATACCCCTCTAGTTGACGGCTGACATTGGGCATGGTGACCTTAGGCTTTCATGGCTGCTCCAAAGGGCCCCCTTCAATGGCTCAGTGCTTTTCTATGGAGATTATTCAAGCAACAGGTGAACTTTAAAGCTGAATTCACTCATTTGAAGGGCTGTCTAGACACTTTTGGACATATGCATAATGGTGATCCATCTGATTAAGTGTCTCAGATATTTGGGTAGTTCTTGACTTTTGACTCGCACTGTATTCACTATTGTGTTATACAGGTGCTGATTCTTCAAATACGGTTATATGCAAAAGTCACATATTGGTCAGATTATATATTTTGTTGATTTTGCGAGTGAAATTAAGTTAATGGGGACCTATTACGCTCATTGTCAGTGTTCATGATTTTATTTTGGGGTCTACTAGAATGGATTTACACGCTTCAGAGTTACACATTACTTTTCTTACACTGTACATCTCTGTTCACTCTCTGTGTGAAATGCTCTGTTAGAGCTTCTGTGTCTTTAAGCCCCGCCCCCGATGAGCCTAGTGTGCTCTGATTGGTCAGCTCCCCCTCTCTGTCCTGAGTGGTTAACCGCCAGAGCAGCATCCTGCTTCAGGTTCCGCCCCTACAGCGCCGTCGGTTCTCCCGTATCGGTTTGAGCCACAGTCGATCCTGAAAGTCAGGTAGAACAGGTTGGTAGACTGAAGCAAGTTAGACTGGAACCGGACGATGCAGAGCGGGAAGTTTTTACTTTGTAGCTCTCTCGTGTGAGGGCGTGGCAAGCTTGCCGGTAGGCGGGCGATAACGTTTGTGTTACAAGATTACATCATCTTCCAGTGAGGCGTTTCAGGCAGCTGAGAAAAGTGGTTTCTGTGACAAACACTAAAGGAAAGGGACAAACCAGAAAAGCATAATACACCAATCAGGCATAACATTATGACCACCTGCTTGTTTCTACACTCATTGTCCATTTTATCAGCTCCACTTACTATATAGGTGCACTTTGTAGTTCTACAGTTACAGACTGTAGTCCATCTGTTTCTCTGATACTTTGTTAGCCCCCTTTTACCCTGTTCTTCAGTGGTCAGGACCCCCATGGACCCTCACAGAGCAGGTACTGTTTTAATGGTGGATCATTCTCAGCACTGCAGTAACACTGACCTGGTGGTGGTGTGTTAGTGTGTGTTGTGCTGGTCTGAGTGGATCAGACACAGCAGGGCTGCTGGAGCATTTAAACACTGTGTCCACTCACTGTCCACTCTATTAGACACTCCTACCTTGTCAGTCCACCTTGTAGATGTAAAGTCAGAGACGATAGCTCATCTGCTGCTGCACAGTTTGTGTTGGTCATCCTCTAGTCCTTCATCAGTGGTCACAGGACGCTGTTGGCTGGATATTTTTGGTTGGTGGACGATACTCAGTCCAGCAGCGACACTGAGGTGTTTAAAAACTGAAGTGTGAACTGAGTGTTTCATCCTGGCTACATGCAGGGCAGCCATTTAGAACAGGGCTCATTCGTATTGTAAATGAGGGTCACCTTCAATGTACTTCCGAGTTGAAACAAAAGTTGATTGATTTGATTGTATGCGAAAGTTTGTGCCCCTGGTCAAATTAGCTGTTTTGTTGACATAAAAAGAGGCCTGTGGAAAAGTTATGACCCATTTTATATTATATTTATTCTCCAATATGTTAAACTCAACAGATAAATGGAAATTGTGCATTAAAATTCATGATAAAGTCCCATATTGAAGTTCTCTGTAGAGAATGTGTTAAATTTTCACTTCAATTCACACAAAATCAACAAAACATACAGTTTGACCGAATCTATCAGTGCTGTGTTTTAGTCCGGTGCTCATGCAGTCTTCTCTTGTGCCTGCAGTGGGTTTGCCGTGGGAATCTACACCACCAACTCTCCAGAGGCGTGTCAGTACGTAGCTGAGAACTGCCAGGCCAACGTCCTGGTGGTGGAGAACCACAAGCAGCTGCAGAAAATCCTGCAGGTAAATACGGGCGGCTTTTAATCTGTGATTTTTCTTCCAACCCCTTCTTTCACAATCTCTCTGTCTTCCCACACAACTTCTACTTAAAACTACTTTAAACAGGAAAGGATTGATGTGAAGTTTAAAGGCTGTGTTGAAACATCAGCCTCTTCAAAGGTGTGGTGCTGTTTTCGTCTTCCTCTTATTTCTTTTGCAATACACTTGCTGTAATACTGGACAGTACGTTTTTTAAATTGCTCACAAATATTACAATAAATACAAATATTATTAATTCAATAGGTATTTTATGTATATCAGTGTTCTTTGTCTGGTTAAGGAAGCCCAGTATTATTTATAGTATATAAATATACTATATATATATACTATAATATAATATACAATATACTATACAGTACATTGTTTGACTATTCAGTGCTTAATTAAGTTAAGGTTGAATTTTTAATTTTTATTTCCTAAAGTCCACTTATGATGAAATTCATATTTATGTCCATTTTCTTACCTCTGTTTTACCAGTTAAACAGGCTAATCTGTGTAAATATACTTTGTTTTTGGGCCCAATCTCATTTCTTATTTTTACCCCTACCCCTTGTTTTCGAGGGTCATCTTGCCCCTTGGGACTAATTTACAAGTCATAACAATTTATGTAAAAATACCGGATGTTTAAAATATCACAAGTGTCCAGCGTAGGGTTCTCCTTTAGCAGCTGTAGCCAGTCAGCAGCCTGTCCATGTTGTCCACCCTCACACACACACACATTTGCAACCACATACACACACAGACACACACACTAACAGCAGGCCGTGTAGGAGGAGAACAGAGTGAAGGACACAGCGCCTCCACACTTTTACTCCCCACAGGTTCACCCAACACCACATGTGTAATATAAATGTGTGGGGGGTGAACAGAGTGAAGACACTGAAAATGGGTTATTTTATATGTTCTTCACACAAAATGAGCAAAGACCAAGAATCTGGGATTGAAATAATAATAAATCGCATCATTTTTTCTTTTGGTAAACACTGAAAATGGGTCCCACAGACCTGAACACCACACAAGGGTTAAAGCCAGGAGACAGTTAAACAGTGAACTCAGACATTGACTTGAACTAATTACCAAGCCGTGTATAGATAATCTAAGCTCTGTCTCTGTTTTAAGCTCTGGGTAATGAACTCCTGATTCTTTCGTTCTTGTTTCAGATCCAAGACAAGCTGCCCCACCTGAAAGCCATTGTCCAGTACAAAGATGCACTCAAAGAAAAGAAGCCAAATCTCTACACGGTAGGAATATTTCCTTTCACGCCACGTCAGACTCTTAGCGTGTGTGTGTGTGTGTGTGTGTGTGTGGTTGTCTGTTTGTTTTGAATGAGCTGTGATGGGTGGAGTGTGTGTGTGTGTGTGTGTGTTTGTGGTCTAACTGACACTTTTTTTCTTGGTTTTCCTCAAAGTGGGAGGAGTTTATGGCGCTGGGCCGCGATGAGCCGGACACTCAGCTTGATGACCTCATCGCGTCCCAGAAACCCAATCAGTGCTGCACGCTCATCTACACGTCTGGAACCACCGGGCAGCCCAAGGGAGTCATGCTCAGCCACGACAACGTGAGGATCTCGCCCACACAAACACAGAATCTGTGATTGGGCTGTTGCGTTCTGATTGGCTGTCCAGTCAGATGTACATTAATGAGTATTTTTCATCACATATTTAAGTTTCTCTTTGAGGAATTTCAGCTAGTAAGCGACAAATCCTTGGTGTGTTTTCGAGCCCATTTTGTTTCGTTTCTTATGGGTGTGTTTTTGTTGTAGCCCAGACTCTCTGGCTTGCTCTCAGTCTTACCCTCCTTTCACACGGGCAGCGACTTTTTGCCTCTTGTCGCCCAGATCACTGATGGTGGGCATTTCTGAACTTGTACTTATTTTTATTTAATCCCCGTGTCTCTGCGGTCAGTTTGTGAGGAACACTGTTTGGTCTTTGTGATTACTGTCTATTTGCGACGAAAGCACCGCCCCCATTATTCCACCTGTTGTAGGAACAATTATCTAGGAACCAAAAATGGAGCGTACCGTTTCACGGTGGCGGAGATAAAGCGCGTACTACGCTGCTCAATCAGAGAACTTGTAGAGAGGAAATTTACCACTCTGCAATGTCTTCTGGGTTTCTCAAACGCTAGAGGGCGCTCCCGAGCGAGTCCAAAATGAATGAGTTGATATGGAGCATTTGAGCAAAATCATAGTTTATAAATGCTTAAACATTTTTAATGCGAAAGTATTCGATTATTTCCTGAACACAGAGCAGCGTAAAACATTTTAACACTGCTGTTATATTTTAAGAGCTTTTAAACTCCAGTTATAGGAGTTTAAAACTGCGCCTCATGTACGTTCATGACATCAGTGAGCACAAACAGCCAATGAGCTGCTCCGCTCGCCAATCAATCATCACGCTCTAGCAGTAATGCCCGCCTCCTGCGCCATTTACTCCCATTCATTGAGGACTCACTCGCAGGCGCCCTCTGCTGTTCATTACTATTGGTAATTGCCACGTCGCTTCGTACCTTATTTACATAAAGTTAAACTCTGCTCAACTTTGTCGCGTCGCTGACTCTGCCCACTCAACGTTCGCCTTGCCTCCTGTTGCCGGAAATCGCCAGCTCTCATTGAAAATGAATGACCTCCGACCACTTTGTCGCATCGCGTCACAGCCGGTGAGAATGCAGGGTTAGAGGTAACTAAAGATGCTGTTGCTATTAGTGAACAAAATGTGGATAAAACTAGCCAAGCAGCTACAAACGTATGCAAAAACAGTGTTGTACAGTCACTGGAGACCTTAAGGTTAAATTAACTTTATCATCCATTACAGTGGAAATGTTCTCCTCATGTTCTCCCCATGTTCTCCTCATGTTCTCCTTCTGTACAGAACAGCTCACATATAATAAACCTTTAAAAATGAATCTACATATAAAACGCACAAAGCTGTTCATTCTGCAATTCAGCAAATGATCAGCAGCATCTGGAACAGAATCGTTTTATTACGGGGGAAAGTAAATCTGATGATGTATGAGGGCTGCAGAAATGTTTATTTGTACTAATAAAACACTGACATTACAATAAATGCAAATGTTGTACAGTAAGTAGTAATTCTGTGTATGTCAGTGTTTGTTTAATCATTTCCAAACCTCTCCTTGAGGAGGTGCAGCATTGCTTGTAGTCATCATCCAACAGCTGGTTTGGGTAATTAATCCTTCATTAATTTAAATGGAATTGAACAAATCTGTGTGGTGGTTTGAGGCGTCCAGGAGGAATTTGGAACCGTTGTTTAAACTAGCTCGCAAAATATCGACGACTTTTTAAACAAATTCTCGTGACTTTTTACTGTGTTAATGTTGATCTGTATGTTTTCTAATGGTGTATGTTGTGGATTTTGTAAGCAAACCTGATTTACTGCGTGATAAATGGTTTTAAATAATGTGCTTAGATGCCAATAATGTTCTCCCAGGAGTGTGTGGTGTACGTGTGAAATATAAGACGATGATTTTCCCAAAGTAGATTGTGTCCAAATGTTTACATGTGAAGATATTTTTCTCTTTCCCACAATAAAGTTCAGTGACCGTTTGTGTATTATTGGATGAGCAGTTGATCAGAGGACGGCTGCTGAAACTGTTATGGAGGAGGATTTATAATCTCTCTCTCTCTCTCTCTCTCTCTCTCTCTCTCTCTCTCTCTCTTTCTCTCTCTCTCTCTCTCTCTCTCTCTCCCTCCCTGTAGTTGACATGGACAGCATTTGCGACTGCTGGTCACATCCGTCTGTCCGAAGCTGACCAGTCTCAGGAGGTGGTGATCAGTTACCTGCCTCTCAGTCACATCGCCGCTCAGATGATTGACATCTGGATCACCATGAGAGTGGGCGGAGCTACGTATTTTGCCCAGCCTGACGCCCTGAAGGTGTGCTTTATCTCTTTGGCTCTTCTTTGCTGGTTTTCAGAGTTGCATTAAACGACCAGCATGGAAAACCTCATTTCAGTCGCCTTTTCAAAATAAGAGTTTGATGTTGTCTGTAAAACATCAGAGTTTCAAAACAGACGAGTTACTTTCTAGTCAGTACGATCCATAAACGTAAACTACACTGCAGAAGCAGCTCGTTCTGAACATCACGGTTGTGAAACACCTCTTACTCCAAAATCTTAACTTTACAGAGGAAGAAAAGAACATTTTAACTCTGAATGGAAGTTTCTATTCATTTTTGAGTGTTTAAAGTTTTGGCTCATTCATGATTTTCAAACTTTGTGCATAATTCAGTGGATTAATTTATTCAGAGTGGTTTGATGTGAAGTAAGAAATGTACTAACTCAAATTTCTTTACAGTGGTGGTGATGGGAACCAGGCGTCGCCATGTCTACAACACAAATACAGCCATTTTATTTACTATCCAAAACCACCAGTGAACCTACACGAGTCTTTTCTACCCGTTTCCATCATGTAACGTTGATGATGGTGAAATAGTAGTTAATCAGGAAAAATAATCGTTTTTTTTTGTTTTGTTTTTTGTTTGAGAGGACTATTTTGCCTTATAATGCCCTGCATGTACCCCTCCACCATGAATGGATTTTGAGTTTTAGGCCAGAACCTTCTCACAAAACTCATAAAAACAGTCTCAGTCATCAGGCAGCAGATTCATAACCATTTCATATAACAACTCTCTTTAAGAGGGGGCCTTTCAGAGGCGTTAAACTCTTCAGACGTCTGGTTCCTATCAAAACCACTGTAAACAGTTCTGACTAAGTTTCTCTAGAACGGAGAATTTCACACCAAACCACTCTGAATGGCTTTATTTGCATCTTAACTATTTAATTATGCAGAAATTTCCAGAAATAGGTGTAATTCCCCTGCAACAGCAACATCTTGATTACAAGTTAAATACCCATTTCAGGTCATTTCAGGGCTTCAGTGCTTCTTCATACCCCTCTGGGCTGTTATGGGTCACTCTCCCAGCAGCTCCCCTCTCCTCCTTAATCTTGTTAGATTAAACCGAGTCTGTTTAATGCCGTCAAAAGCAAGCTTAGCAAATCTCTTTGCGGCTTTAACTGATGTAGCAGGACACGTTCTCGGCTTCTCAGCGAGGTTCCTCTTGTCAGCTTCACTGTAAGCCTGATGTTCACAAAGAGTACTTTTGATTTTTTAAGTGGCCACTCATTTTCTGCTCCATGTCATAAACAAGAGCGGCCTGTTTGTAGGGGTGCCTCAAATTTGGAAGGGCCTGTTTTTAAGTAATGGGACATTAAGTGAAACATGCTGTGGGTTTTCTGAGCTCACAGTCTTGGTCGTGTGATGGAGGACTGATCTGGCTGCGGTCAGTGGCTCGTCTCGGATGGTTTGTGCAGCTGTTAGCCTTCATGAACCCATCTGGGTTCCATAGAAACGTACAGATTCAGTACAGTGTAACTGTAATGCTTTAATTTAAGTACATAAATGTCTAAATAAGTCTAAGAATATCCAGACAGCGCTTCTGATTAGTGAACGGCTGCTCCCATTGATTCAGTTGTGCACACACAGATTGTGCCATCTCCATTGAACAGCATTGACCAATAGAATGGGATGCAGCCACACATCAGCTTTAGGTCACCATGCCCAATGACATGCTGTCTAGAGGGGTATAAAGCCAGCACTGGGCTGTGGAGCAGTAGAACTGTGTTCTCTGGAGTGATGGAGCTCCATTCAGTACCTTTGGGATGAGTTTGTGATCCAGAACTGATCATCCAACATCAGTACCTGACCTCACTAATGCTCTTGTGGCTGCCATCAAATCCTGACAGCAATGTTGGAACATCTAGAGTAAAGTCTTCCCAAAAACTGCAGCAAAGAAGGAACAAACTCCCTATTAATACTCTTGATTTCAGAAGAAACTCTGGCAGGATATCTACAAATTTCTGGCTGTAAATATGTATGTTATGTATATGTATGTATATATGTATATGAGAGAGAATCTCTCTCTCTTTTTCAGGGCTCTCTGGCGAACACCCTGCGTGAAGTTCGTCCCACTGCGTTTATGGGCGTCCCTCGGGTGTGGGAGAAGATGCAGGAGAAGATGAAGGCCATCGGAGCCAAATCGTCCACCGTGCGGCGGAAAGTAGCCTCATGGGCCAAAGACGTGGGTCTGCACACCAACCTCAGCAAAATGGAGCTGTACGTAATCATTTCAATGAAGAGCGAGAACGAATGAGAACCAATCTCCTTCGCAGTTTGGCCTTGTTTACCTCACTGTAAAAGGGGACCTATTATGCTCATTGTGTTCATAATTTTATTTTGGGGTCTAGTAGAACAGGTTTACACGCTTCAGTGTTCTAAAAACACATTTTTCTCACACTGTTCATCCCGATTTACCCTGTCTGAAACACTGTTAGAGCTCATGTGTCTTTAAGCCCCGCCTCCCGATGAGTGCAGTGTACTCTGATAGGTCAGCTCGCGCTTGTTTTGATTGGTCAACTGCCACAGCGCTTCCAGGCCTACATGTGCCGCCCCTGTCTTGCAGTCTGCAGACGGACCCTTCTCTCCTGAGCAGCTGTAAATTCCTCTGTGGATGTTTTTCCAGCAACGTCTGTTCTGCCGTATCAGTTTGATCCAGAGTCAGTCCTGAAAGTCCGGTCAGCGTCTTCTTCACCCAGCTACAACACTGAACACACTCCAGTAGTTGCTGTGCACTGTGTGTGGCCGTGCTGAGCTTGCCGGGCAGTAAGGATTGGGTTATGAGATGACATCATCTTGTAACAAAGGAAAAGAGCTGGAATTCAAACGAGGCATTTCAAGCAGCTGAGAAAAGTGGTTTCTGTGGGTAAGAGATTCTCCCTCTGGCCTGTGGGCCAAGTCAGGCCTGTGACACAGTCCTATACGGCCCGCAAAATGATTTAAATTTTCTATTGTTTTTAGTCCGTTTCACCCTGAGATGCACTACATTCCCCAGCATGCACTACAACATAGTGTGCATTCTGACCCCCAACACCTTTGAGTCAGCGGTTACCCAAAAAGAAAAGATGCCTGGTGTCCAGTTCAAGCAAATAGGCAGTTTAAAAAACTGTTTATTTTATTTAGAAACTTTTTTGAATGAGTATTCAGTGCCAATTTTGCTGTTGCAGCAAGTCATTGGGCACCTCTGGTCCTACGTTTGCTTGCTGTCCGATATTATATTTTGGGGAATTATTATATTATAGGGAATGCATATATTTTGCGAGGGTATGCAAAACATTTGCGAGGGAACGCAATGTCATTAACTTTTTTTATTTATTTATTTATTTATTATTATTTAGGGGCTCCGTACCCTTTAATTATCAATACTAATATATAAAAGTAACAAATAGAAATGGAACTGAAAGATTATGAAGTGGAAGTGAGAGATTATGAGGCAGAAGCACTTCCAAGCGTACAGTACAGCATGCTCACTCTCCGCTGGGCTGGTCATGATCTGATTAGTGAGGCTGTGCTGTGTAGTTTGTAATTGATATGGCTGGATTGTGTCATTGTCATTACCTGTTGTGTGTAATTTTGATAGTTTTACACAAGTTGCTCATGGAAACCATCCCAGCTTTGATTTAGCATGTTGTCATGTGAGCAGCAGTGATGGAACTGAACTCTGCAGTGTATTCACGGCTGTTTTCTCCGTCAGAAATGGCTCCGTGTCCCGAAATCCGCTGAACTACCGGCTGGCGAAGCGTTTGGTGTTCCGGAAGGTTCGCAAGGCTCTGGGCCTGGATCGCTGCCGACAGTGCTACACCGGAGCCGCCCCCATCACCAAGGAAACGCTGGAGTTCTTCCTCAGCCTGGATATCCCAGTGTACGAACTGTACGGCATGAGCGAGAGCTCTGGACCACACACCATCTCGCTGCCCGAAGCTTTTAGACTGACCAGGTACTCACAGGCACCACCTCACTGCCCAAGCATTCAGATTAACTATGTACACTACACGCCAAAAGTTTGGAAGCAAGCAGAGGATTTCTTTAAAGCAGGGCTGGCCCACAATGCTGTTGGCTGGGGAGGACGTTTGATTTGGCCTGACAGAAAGTTACCATAACCCCAGTATTCATTTACTGTATAACCTGTATAATTATCTGCCTATTAACTTTGCGTTTTTAAGGGTTTAGTCGCACAATATAGTGTAACGTTAATAACATACAGTTGTGAAATGCATTCAGTTGTATTTTGATTGTCCTGTTGGTCCTGAGGTCGGGCTAAACGATCGTTTTATATCCAAATCGCAGTTTGAAAGCGTGCAGTTTTCAAATGGCAACAGCTGCAGTTTTAATTATCTAATATTAGTCAGTGTTGCAAGTTTCCAGTGGATGAATTTAACCTGTTAACACAGAGCTAATAAACTCAGTCTGATTAGAGCTGCAACAATAAAGTTACACACGTTTGGCAGAACACTTCTGTACCATTTTAATATAAACAAACGTATTACTACGTGTTAACCCCCCCCGCCCCCACCCCCCCGCCAGTATATATTTTACAGAAAGTTACTATTGCTTCCAAACTTCTAAGCCTGTGTATGTAATGTGCATTTGATACACTCATGCCTGTTTAATCACATATAATGATCATAGTGTGTATAACCCTGTTTTCCTCCACAGCTGTGGGAAGGTGATCACAGGCTGCCAGACGAAGATCTTCAGTCCGGACGAGGAGGGGAACGGAGAGATCTGCTTCTGGGGACGCCACGTCTTCATGGGCTACCTGAACATGCCGGAGAAAACGGACGAGGCCCTGGACGCAGACGGCTGGCTGCACTCCGGGGATCTCGGGCAAACACGACGACAATGATTTCCTCTTCATCACAGGACGCATCAAAGGTACCGTCCCGCACCCTTCCACCTCAAAAAGTGCTGTGATATATAATATATATACATACATATATATATGACTGCTGTCAGAACAAAACCTCGAATCTCCAAAATCATAACTTTACAGGACAAGAAAAAAACCTGCTTTACTTTTAATGTAAGTCAATGGAACCAGAATTCTTTCCAGGTCATTTCTGGTCGTTTCTTTTGGTCCATTCATCATGAAATTTACATACAATGTAAAGAGTAACAGGCATTTTCAAATTATGTTAAAAACTAAACAACAAAAATGGAGATAATGTTCCGACAGCAGCGATATACATTAATGCATTTGTGTAGGGACAACCCAGTGTAGTTACAATCCCAAAAAAACACGTCATCCATGTAACAGGTTTAGGTAGGTTTGCTTACATTGTGTGTTGCGGTCAGGTTGCATGCTTTGTTGATTTGAAGTAAAAATAAGTAAACAAATCATCTTCAGGGAACAAATGAATAGAAATTGTGCACTTAAAATGAAATATCGCTGCTGTCGGAACAAAACCTCGTATCTCCAATATGGCAACTTTACAGGAGAAAAAACTACTATACTTTTAATGGAAGTCAATGGAACCAGACTTTTGTCCAAGTCATTTTGAGCCGTTTGTTTTGGTCCATTCATCATGAAATTTACACACAATGTAAAGGACAAATTTTGTCCGCGAAAAATTGGAGGTGAGGTTTTGTCCCAACCACAGCGATATGGCACTCGAAGTGCACAATTTCTATTCGTTTTGACTAATTTTACCTTTTGGAGAAACATAAAATGTGAACTATAAAATGTGCCAGGACTTTTTCACAGGTCACATTTTTATGTTTTGGTGTTTTTCAAATATGTTTTATTCATTAGTAGTCATTTAATCATGCATTAAAATGCGCAGACGTGTAGAGAATGTGCTACCTTGAGTTCACTGAACGTCATTTGACCAGAGACGTGCACATTTTTGCATGTGGTTTAGGTAAATAGTCTTGGTGCATAATGAGTTTTGCTTTGCTTTGCTTTGTTTTTCTCTGACGAGTTCTTCTCAGCCAAATCGTTTTTATTTTTTGGGACCCTTTTTTGCCCCTTCATTTACATTAGATACTGAATTGTCTGAATGAGTCTTATAAGCGTCTTAATCTTAAGATAACAGAATTATAAGGCTGCAGTTTAAGGGGCTAAATAGTGTGTTCTGTGTGTGTGTGTGTTGCAGAGTTGATCATCACAGCTGGAGGGGAGAACATCCCGCCGGTGCCTATAGAGGACGCCGTGAAGGCAGCTGTGCCCCTCATCAGTAACGCCATGCTGATCGGAGACAAGAGGAAATTCCTCTCGATGCTGCTGACCGTAAAGGTATCAGCATCATCAGCCTGTTCATTATAGAGCTGTTTCAGCTGAGGATGCCAGTGTAGCCGGGGACAGTTCAGCCCTTAGAATTCACAGTTATCAATAACAAAAGCATGTTTTAATTTGATACGGATCATTTCTCACTTGTAGCTCATTCACAAAAGTGTGGAAAGTGCAGATTCTAAACTTTCAGTCTGTATCGCCTTTGAAATTTGTTTGTACATAGAAAAGGAGATGTAATTTGAGGAGTTTGAGGAAACGTTGTGTATATTAGTCTCGTTTTGTGAACCTTTATATTTTATATGTATTTTGTACATTGAGACCGGTGATGCATGATGGTATCAGAATTATATGGATATTAGATAATTGGTTAAAAAAAAATTCGCATCAGTCAGATTTACTCCACTTATTTTACTGCATTTGTTGGCCTAGAGAAATAAAAGTTACATTTCTTTCCAATTTCTACATTTTATAAATGTTTATGTATCAAAATCAGCAGATATGTACGTGAAAAATATCAGATATCCGCATCGGCTCACGATTCCCATATTCATGCTTCCTTAACTGAAACAGACAGAAAGGAATCAGCAATGAAAGCTCAAATCTGTCCATACAGACTGTAAATCTAATGTAAATATAATTGTATAACTACATAGTTCATTAAGCCATTGCATTTAAATAGCAGCAAAACCACAGCAGCGCCTCTAAACTGAGGGTGAAGGACAGGCGGGTCCCTCTGTGACCTTCACGTCTTCAGAGTCAGGTTGAAGTCTGGTCAGGGTTGGTGTGTGTACTCTTACTCATTAACATGATCTTTATTCAGCTGCTGACCGGCAAATCCCCATGTGCCAGTTTAGGGAAAGTACACCGTGAAACAAAACAAGTGCTCTCGTCGTCCAATTACAGTCATTATCCCGTCTGCCTGATCTTATCCTGGTGGATAAGGGATCTTCTGGGTGTCATAAAGTGCACTAAAACTGTCCTAATCTAACAGCCTGATAAAATTCCCGGCAGTTTAAAGCTGCTTAGATAAGCTGCCTGGCAGGGTGCTTACATTTTAGCCTTCTGTCTCCACCTAGTGGCTGGTTCTGGAAACTGCAGTCACTTGTCTGGTGGATTATTTGCTGTGTCATCTTGCTCCCCCTGGTGTCAGCAGGTGGTAAATGCCAAACATCAAATAAGGGGTTTGAGCTGAACAGAAGAGATGAGTTATTTTGTTGGCCGTGTTTAAGAAAAAAGACTCTGTTTAACGTCTGTTTTTCTTTCTCGCCTCTCTTTTTTCTTTTCTTCTCTTTCTCTCTCTCCATTTCTTCATTTACCTCTCTCTCTGTTCTCTCGTTCTCTTCTATCTTTATTTCTTGCTTTTCTCTCTCACTCTTTGTTCCTTTATTTCTATCTTTGTCCCCTTCTCTTGTTCCTTTTCCGTCTATCTTTTTTTTTTCCTCCCTTCTTTTTCTTCCATCCATCGGTTTTCTTCCTCCTTTTCTTTCTTCTTTTCGCTTATTTTTCCCTTCTACTCGCTTATTTCACACCCTTTTCTCTTCCGTCTCTCCATCTGTTTCTCTCTCTCTCTCTCTTTGTCCCCTTTTTCCATCTCTTTCACCTTCTTTTGTTCTCTTTCTCTGTTTATCTTTTTTTCCTCCCTTCTTTTCCTTCCCTACATTGATTTTGTCTCTTACTACTTTTCTTTCTCTTCTTTTCTCTCATTATTTCTCTCTCTCTCTCTCTCTCTCTCTCTCTCTCTCTCTCTCTCTCTCTCTCTCTCTCTTTCTATCTCTCTCTCTCTCTCTCTCTCTCTTTCTATCTCTCTCTCTCTCTCTCTCTCTCTCTCTCTCTCTCTCTCTCTCTCAGTGCCAGGTGAATGCTGATACAGGTGCTCCGGAGGATGAACTGACCCCGGAGGCGGTGGAGTTTTGTCAGAAGTTGGGCAGCACCTCCACGCGGGTGTCCGAAATCGCCGGTGGCCGGGACCGCCTCGTCCACACCGCCATCCAGGACGGCATCAACAGCGTGAACGAGAAGGCCACCTCTAACGCCCAGCGCATCCAGAAATTCACCGTGCTGGAGCAGGACTTCTCCATCCCCGGAGGAGAGCTTGGTGAGTGAAGCGGACGCAGATCCTCTAACGTTCACCCACAGCCTTCAGAACCTGCTTACAGAATTAGAGCTAGACCTTCAGTTCAGGCCATAAACGCTAAAACTCAACTCAGAAAAAAAAACACCTCCT